CTAAACTGCATTTTCTTGTTTTATACTTTTACTGTGCAATGGCAGTAAAGTTGGATTTACTTGGACATTATCACTTGTTTTATTTTTTTTCAGCCTTGTGTAGATTCTTTAAGGTCACAGATGAAGCATCTCGGATGAGACATCTTCAAAAACTCAAAAAGATAAGTCTAGTTTCTTTACCGTGGAGCTCCCAGGCTTTTCCTATGATTCTTAAACACACTGTGTAGCTGGATGCATCGCCTAATTTGGATGCTAATGGTTGTCTAGTTGGTGGGTCTTTATTTATAAGGATTAACCCCAGTGATCATGTGGCTGTAATCAGATGATAGCTATATAATGACAAACAACACTATGTAACCTTTAAATGAACAAATGTCCAATTTTTCCTCTTACAAATGATTTTTTTAATACTATTTCAATCCATTGTTGTATTATTCATTCACAGCCAGTTCTATAGCACAGTTGGCTTGAGGTGTTGCAGTTTAAAATAATAGTACTGTAAAGACTAAGGTAATTGTTTATTAAGTGTTTTTTGTTTTTTAAATCTTGCTTGTTTTCACTTTTATATTTTCTAACCTCTTACTGTCATTTCTTTGTTTAAAAAAAATGAAACAATTAGTTGCTAAATAGATGCATAGAGAATTATTTGGACCTAATTTAGCAAATCAATTAGCTCGTTTTTAAAGCAGTATTCAGCTTCTTAGATGGGAGGTTGTGCTGCTTTTTTTTAATTGTCTTGTGTGATAATATGCGTAATTGTTTTGATTTTTGAAACTTCCATTTTCTTGCATTTTGTAAATTACCCAATTGAAAGAACAATCAACAGGCTAATTGCTAAAATAATTGTTTCCCCAGAAAATCAATGAAAAGCATAAAGGTTGTCTGCTTCATTAGTTGGCATTAAACCTGCTGTGGACTGATGTTTTTATGGGGACCACTCAATCATGGTATTCTGTAAACACATACTTGGCATCTAATGATCAGCAGCATTGTGTAACCTTTAAATTAACACCTTCTTCTTCGTACAAAGTCAAAGCTGCATTTATTGACTTAGATTTATTCCATTTATGTCTGCCTGTGTGATTTTTAATGCTAATTAAAGTTAGTAACTTCGGCTAGCTTCTTTCATAGATTTTTTTGATCCATTGTTGTCGTCTTCGCCGCTAATTACAAGAATGAGTTTGCTGACTTTAAATCTGTTGAAATAATGCTGTGAAGACTAATAACACCAAAGAGACTAAGATGTTGGCTTATTAAGACAAAATACATTATTGTGCCTTTTTTTGTTTTTTTTAATCTTACAACTTGTCGCTTTAATGTTTCCTCTGTTCTTATTGTCATCTTTTTTTGTTCCAAAGCTGATTAGTAGAGAATTAATTGGACCTAATTTAACAAATCACTTAATCGTTTAAGAGATTTTTAAGCCGCTTCCAGCTTCTCAGATGTGAGGAAGGATTTGTTGCTTGTCATTGTCTTGTGTCGTAAGAAAGTTGATATTTTTGTGATCTGTTGGTTCAACTATTGTTTTATTTTGGAGATTAATCTGCCAATTAATTGGGAAAACAGACAACAGACTTGCATACCTTAGAATTTCAGAAATGGTTGGGTTTGGCTGGAAATCTCAACAATAACCTGATTACGTTACCGGGCTGTGTAGGATGAAGTGACCCAGTAAAGGCAGAGTATTTTGATGTTTTGCTACAGTCTATAGAGGCCCGGACTGTTTCATTTAGTTTAGGCATTCATCATTCATCCTTTTGATCACTGAAATTGTGCATAAGCTGGTGCTCAAGGTCAAGATCAAGGTGCTCTCCTTGATCATTTATAACACTCAATGTGTCTAATAAGACTACTTGTTTAGTGAATTTTGATGCAACTTATGAAACCCGAGGTAACCATTCAAATTCAGCCCTTCACTTTCCCCCTCCCCCCCTCGACAATATGTTCAAAGAAAAAAAATGCAAATATACAACAGAGCTTAGTGTTCAGACTAATTTGCAACACACTTTGTACCTTGCCTTTTGGTTATTACCTGTCTGAGTATGAATATCATTTCCATATTTTTCACCAGGCAGCCCACTAATAAGGAAATACATTCTGAGATTGCCAGTGTGTTCGCACTGCGTTTTGTCATTATTAGGTGGCCCTGAATTGATGTTGTTTGATTTGTTGAATAATAAAAACCAGATAGTCCAGTGCCCTATTAAAAGATCAAATGAATTGTAAGCAAACCGCACTGTACAAAGCATACGGACACCCGCCTGCAGCCTGTATAGATAAAATGCTGCAGATTGGCAATCAAAATGCACTGACAAATAAAAGCACAGAAGCAAAATTTGATCCTTGCCAGAGCTGTAATCCCGATCGGGATGTAGTGAGAGGCGTAGCTCGTGTTGTGCAATCGCGCAGATTGAAATCCTTGGAATTAGACGGCAGATGGCTCAGGTGCATTGTGGCCGCCATTGTTCCTGTTGTTTAAAATGTGAGGAAGAAGAATGGCTTATATAATAGAGTTATATGAACTATATATAGAACAATATGATTAAGTGGAGATCTAAGTTTTTTTTTCTCCAAGATTCTTTTGAACACTTTTTGGTCGAACAACAGAGAAAAAAAAGCCAATGATCCGATTTCATTTTACAAACGAAGACACAGATGTTCCAGTGCAGCCTGTCTTTTGTATCTCTGCACAATTATTCTGTTGCTTGCACTGATTTATTTATTTATCGCGGTGTCACAGAAATCAAATATCCTCTGCTGAGGGGATGCTTTTGTTCAGACGGCTGCCACTTTCAGAAGTGCTATTCTGTCAAGTGTCAGCTTTTGAGTCCAGAGGTAAAACTCGATGTCTGTGTTTTCCATTGTATTCGTCACACACTCGCAAGGGCGCGCGCACAACAGCGAGCTGCCACCCCTCCGACAAACAGCTTGACTTTGATAGTCTTCGTATCTCCCTGGATGTGTCCTCAAATTTCAGACTTGTCAAAGTTGTTTTGTCTTCATAATCCTCTTTGTAGAACATGGCCGCGTTCCATTCCCTCTGCCTTGTCACGCTCTCTCTAAGAAAACAATGCTGACAGCAACAATTTCTTTTCATTGCTCTAAATATTGTGCTCTGGCGACTGTCATTACCAAGAACTGTCCCAGTTTTTTGGAGGGAAGTAATTGCCTGCCGCGATACGAGACCAACAACCAGTTTGGCCTCATGTTGGTCTCAGGTAGAGAGGCTGCATGCTCAGCGTGTCGGCTGCCACACAAACCAACATATGGCCCTGATATACATGAACGGCTGCCAACGGGGTCAGATGTGTTGAGATTCACTCAAGAGCAGGAAAGACCTTCACCAAGGTCACCAGCGAAGCAGCCAATATCTGCTGAGCTGCGGAAAACAACTTGTGTCCAATATGGCAACCTATCAGCTATTGACCTCGTAATCATCACCATTTTTCATACACGTTTCGCATCATGTATCCAAGCCTCTTCCCGTCTATGATGATTTATACAGAGAAATCCATTAAAGCACTAAGCATTCCTCCAAAAAAAAAAAAAAAAAAACTACCCCTAACTGTTTGTTCAGTCACCGCAGAGGGGAAGTTTAGATGGTTTTGATGGTCTGGTGAAATATTAAAACTGCCTTTGCATTAAATGCTTAGTTTGTCTCAGTGCAATTTGGCAAACATTCACGAGCACCAACAGCTAAATAATTAACACGTTCTAAAAAGATAAGCAGGGGTGAATGAGAGGAAGAGGGGGAGAGTGAGAAAGAAACGCTTCTCCGTGCTTAGTTGTTTGCCAGGTAAGCATTTTTACATGTAGGCGGAGGAGAGAAAATAGAGATCACACAGGCAGAGTTATGGTAATGTTCTGCTCCGGGTTTCTGTACTCAAGCTTTTTACAGCAACTCGTATCAGCCTGATATGTTAATAGGCACAATGGGATTTGGGTTTGATTAAATGTCAATGCCTGGAGGAGAAAAGCTAGTGTGGAAAGAGAGAAAGAGAGAGAGAGAGGGAAAAAAATGCCAGTTTCTCAGAATAAGAGATGTGGGCTGTTCTGAGCTCAGTGGGCCCTTGCAAGAAGGAGGACATTGGTTAGTCACACAGCAGTTTAGGACAGCAAAGGTTGTGTGTAGTCCCAGAGGATCAGGCCATGACATGTTTGTGATTTACTCCATAACAGTTAGAGGTAAAAGTGGTTGGAGGGCCTCTCTGTCCTTCTGGAGAAGGTGAATCATCAGAGTGGGCGAGTGGAGAGGGTCCTTTACTTCAGTCGCAGACGAGCGTATGAGCCGAGTGTATAAGCCTCTTACAAGGGTTCCTCACATTACCAAATTAACCAGAAATTGTATCTGAAGAGCCGAGGATGGGATTTAATTTGCA